GATCAAAATGGAAATTAAAAAATACTTAGAATCAAATGATAATAAAAGTATGCATTTTTATAGACCTATCTTGTGAGTTTACAATTGTTTACTATTTTTCCTGTCTCACCACCTGTCTTTGACCCCTCCAGGGTAGGGGCCATGCAGCCATCTTTGCTACCCTCCTGCTTGCCATGATGCCTGGCTGAGTAAGTACTCAATACTTATTTAAATATTGAGTGTTTACATTTACATATTTAAACTTAAATATTGAATATTTAAGTAAATAAATAAAAATAGCAGCCCTCGCATCCTGCTTCTAGTTCCTCCATTTCTGCCGTGTTGGCCTCCCCCAAGTGTCACGGAGATTCACCAGGAATCCGTGATTACTTGGCTTATTTTCACTGTGTCCCAGCAAGCAGGGGCTTAGACAGGCCTGCATCTCCTCATGCATTTAACAACGAGGAGGAGGAGATAAGCGGGAAGTGGGGGCAGCCTTCTCATCACCCATGCTTGGGCAGGTGAGTGGTAATGCCTTCCTGGACATGAAGGAGCTGCTTAAATACAAATTGGATTAGCAGACCAGGATTAGAGCCCGCTGGAAGGTATTATATACTTAGAAACTGCTCTGAAAACTCCTATTGTTTTCATTACAAGCCCATACTCCACAGTCAGTCAAATGAAATACTGGGTTAGTCTATTAATAAAATGAGCTACAGCCCTGGCCTAGTAGCTCGGTTAGAGCATTGTCTCAATGTGCCAAGGTTGTGTGTTTGATCCCTGATAAAGCAAGGTTGTGGGTTTGACCCCCCAGTCAGGGCACATACAAGAAGCAACCAATGAGTCGATCCCTGATAAAGCAAGGTTGTGGTTTTGACCCCCAGTCAGGGCACATACAAGAAGCAACCAATGAGTGCAAAAATAAGTGGAGCAACATATCAATGTTTCTCTCTCCCTTCCTCTCTCTCTCTAAAATCAATAAATAAAATTTAAAAAATAAAATGAGATATCAAATGAAGTGACTACGTTTTAATAATACCAAGAAAGTTGAACTAGGCAATAATAGTTCAGTTTAGCAAAACTATATGTATAACTAGACCACCTGAAATGAGAGGTTTAACATGTGTTTCATAAGAAATAAGAACACTGAAAGTGGTCTATATTCTATCTCCTCCATCTGGCCAGTGTGGCTCAGTTGGCTGAGTGTTGCCTGGTGCACTGAAAAGTCGCCAGTTCCATTATTGGTCAGGGCACACGCCCCGCGTTTCGGGTTTGGTCCCTAGTTGGAGTGCGTGCTGGAGGCAACCGATCAATGTTTCCCTCCCCTCCCCCCCTTCCTCTTCCTCTAAAATCAATAAAACATATTTTTAAAAATAATATTTAAACAAGAAAGATGATTAAGAGGTGACTTCAAGACAGAAAAAAAAAAGTGAGATATGTGAGAAGTGTCAGACTTATCTAGACATTTCAAATGAATTGAAATCCCAGGTCTAAATGAATTATAGTCCCAGGACGCTGAAAGACTTTGCAAATATGAACACGGAATTCCTGTCATAATCTTTGAAAAACCAAGGAACACCCAAAGATGACAAAAAAGAAAGAGCTTTCCAAGAAAGGGGAAAAAGGTTATTTATGGAATATGCCGACAGATAAACTCGAGGCCGGTTATTGGTAAAAATTCTAGGAGATACAATTCTGCCACTTACTGGCACTATGACCTTGGGCATATTTCAAAACTTTTCTGTAAAGATTCAATGAAATAAAATATAAAGCATTTAATATACACAGAAAACACTCAGTAAATGGTACCTATTACCAGTTTTGTGTCTCTACATTTCAAAAAGAAGGTGGCAACAACTAGGTACTGACGTGGGTTTTTCAAGGTCAAGTCTCATTTAGCTAACCTCATTTTTCTGGCGACACAAAGGTGTGTGGGGAGAAAGTATTCCTAAAAGGTGTGTAGGGAAGGTCTTCATTTTGAAATGACCCTAGATAAAAATCTCTTATAATATCCTTGTGAAAAGACTGAATTTTAGGAGAGCTGTGTTGACCTCTCCATGCCTCAGTTTCCTTATCTGTAGAAGGAATATACTACTACCTCACTGGGTTGTTATGCAAAAAGCCCTTACAACGGGGCCTGGCATTTAGTCAGCACTATATAGATGCTTGGTAAATAAACTGGAACAGAATTTCCTAGTGGCATGTTTGTGCAGGACCTGGCTCCAACCTCTTCAACATTTTCATCAGAAAGTTGCTAAAATTTCATACAGTATACTGGTCAAATACTCAGATAATATAAATGTTGGATGATGAAATAAAAATCCACAAAGAACTTAACTGTATTTCAGGCTAGGGCTATGAAATGAAATACATGAGATAAAATTAAATCCTGGATAGAGATTTTAAGAAAAAAAAAATTTGTTTTACAAGTATTAGTCTGGCTTGGCAGAATTTTCTGTGGATAAGAAAGGGAAATTTAGTTGATTAAAAGCTCAGCGTGCAGCCCTAGCCGGTTTAGCTCAGTGGATAGAGCGTCGGCCTGTGGACTGCAGGGTCCCAGGTTCAATTCTGGTCAAGGGCACATACCCAGGTTGCAGGCTCAATCCCCAGTGTGGGGTGTGCAGGAGGCAGCCGATCAATGATTCTCTCTCATCATTGATTTTCCTATCTCTCCCTCTCCCTTCCTCTCTTAAATCAATAAAAATATATTTTTTTAAAAAAGAACTTCTTAAAAAAAAAAAAAGCTCAGCGTGCATAAAACAGTGTGTCTATTAATTAATGTGAAGTTTAAGTGTATCAGGAGAACCGGAGTATCCTGATGAAGACACAGATGCCAAGATGGCAGGCACAGCTTGTCTATCATAAACTCTTTTCTCCCCTTCCTCTCCTTAGGTTCCAGGTATAAGAATGAGCTCTGGCCCTAGCTGGTTTGGCTCACTGGATAGAGTGTCGGCCTGCCGACTGAAGGGTCCCAGGTTCGATTCCGGTCAAGGGCACATACCCAGGTTGCAGGCTCGATCCCCGGTGTGGGGTGTGCAGGAGGCAGCCAATCAATGATTCTCTCTCATCATTAATGTTTCTCTCTCTCTCTCCCTCTCCCTTCCTCTCTAAAATCAATAAAAAAAATATATGTATAAAAAAAAGAATGAGCTCTGGGTACAAGAATGAGCTTAGGAACACAGATGGACAGAAAAGAAATGAGAGGCAATAACAAATCATATTTCCAACTCATCTGAATGGCAGGACACATCCTCAGGTGGGTATGAGAAGATGGCCTCAAGACATGTGAAGAAATGTAATTAGAAGTTTATGAGGGCACTGAATGCCTCACTGTGCTACATGCCAAATAAATTCCCCTCTAATCATGATTACTGCAGGATTTATCTAATCTATTTCCTATAGGAAATCAAGCTACTCAGAGGCATTTTATCACATTTTTTCCTCCTAATAATCCCTGTCCCTGACAAAGAAGATTTTGTTATCCCACAGTATAGATAAGAAATTGAGGCAAAGAAGTAAAGTGAATTGCCCTGGGCCACACGGAACTGGAATTACAGTTTAGTATCTCATCTTAGTGTGCACTACATGAGTTTTGGAAGGGAGCATGCTGGAGTCACATTATGTCCTTCGAGAAAAGGCCGATTTACCTTAATCTCTGGCAGAAAGAAGATTAATTGTATTTTCCTTAGTGCATGTCAGAGACCTTGAGTAGACACTTCACTAGTAAATTCCACATGCTTATTCTAAGCCTTTCCCAAATACTTGGAAAGCCTTGGATTGACCATTAGGAAGATGCTAGAAATTAACTTTCTTAATAAATTAAAGCAAATATTTGTTTGCTAGAATCTCCAAGAAAAGCAATCAATCAAGAAAGTTGTATAGTACAGCCATGCTATTCACCTAAGGTAAGAAACTATCCCAATAGGCATATATTGAGGTGGTCAGCTCCTCTGCCCCCGGGCCCCACAACCCATTCCCAGCCCAACCGCACTGTCTAGGGCAGTGATGGCGAACCTATGACACGCGTGTCAGAGGTGACAAGCGAACTCATTTTTTTGGTTGATTTTTCTTTGTTAAATGGCATTTAAATATATAAAATAAATATCAAAAATATAAATCTTTGTTTTACTATGGTTGCAAATATCAAAAAATTTCTATATGTGACACGGCGCCAGAGTTAAGTTAGGGTTTTTCAAAATGCTGACACGCCAAGCTCAAAAGGTTCGCCATCACTGGTCTAGGGACTAGATAAAAGTCAAGTGAAAGCATGCTTTTAACAAAGAAAGTCCAATGCAAACATTAGTTATTGTTCTAATGATTTACATATTTCATCTAATTATTGAAAAAAATCCCTGTTCATTATAAAAACCTGGAAAATGAAGTTAAGCAAACCAAAATGAGTCAAAAGCCCCCACAATGCCACCATCCAGCAAGAATCTTTTGTACCTGTTTACAATTGGATGTTTTCTAAGGCTCATTTCTCTGGTCAGGCCATGAGGAAATCAGCCAAAAACTGCAACCCTAAGTTCTATGCACAGTTTCCCTTTAATTAAGTAGAGAAAATGGTGACTTATCTGTAGAAACTCTCTTTTATTTTCTTGGCACTTTTCCCATAAGAGATAAGATCACTACTTAATATACCTGGCAGTAAAAAAATAAATAAATAAAATAAATAAATTCCCAACTGCTTCTTACCGGCCTCAAAAATTTATGCTACATTTCTAAGAATAAGTCACTTATCCAAACTAGCAAATATCAGGGGCAAAAAGGATTGTGACTATTTCTTTTTACACACACATAGCTGCATGTCCTGAAGGACATGATTCTTCCTTTCTCTTGGAGAAAAGAGACACACACACATTCAGAACCCATACAAGGGCTGAGTCAAGGATAGATTAGTCATCAGCAAAAGGGGAGAGCAGTCGAATCTTTCCAAATAAGCGAGCCAATGATCCCAGGAGAGCACCACATTTCAATCCATTCGTTTTTCCCATCCTTAGCAAAAAAAATTACGCCATTACCTTTTTGTTCATGGCCACGCCATCCTCACAGTCGAGCACCGCACAATCTACATTCAGGGACGGAATCTTCTTTATTTTCTTTTCATCATTTCCAGGTACATAGAGCACTGCCCTCCGGGGAATGTACTTGTGATTGGATGAGGAACTATAGCCAAGCCTGGGCACATCGGCCGCCAGAGAAGCTTTCCTGCCGGAGACATGATTGGGATTAGTCCAGAATAGAGTTTATTTACAAATTTTTAAAAACCTCACTTTAACTCAAAATTAAAATAGAAAACATGGATACCCTGTTTTAATTATGGCAGGACACAATCACACATAACAAGTAGGAAAACAATAATAACAGAAATAACCAAGAAACAAAATGTCATTTGGGCTGAGGTTTATATAACATCGTTTAGTGGCACAATTTTCTGAGAAAAGGAGAGTGTACTTATTTCTTCTTGGGAAAACACTTCCAGTATTAGTATGCTGTCCAGATATCCATGGAGAAAAATGAAAGACATATTTATATCCAAAAGTTCCTAAATAACAACACTATCTACAATTACATGAAAATAAAAAAAAAAAAGAATATAAACTGTGTAAGCCTGAGTCTTTTCCAATAGACAAATAAATGATTCAAGTTAAATTTTAACAACAAAGGATAGTTGGCCACTTCTTGAGTAGAAAGGACAGTTAATGAGAAAAGACCATTACTAGCTCTGTAATTGCGGGCAATTTAATTACTGGAAACTTCAGAGTCTTCCTTTATAAAAATACTCATTTTGCAGGATGTGAAGAGGATTAAGAAAGAGGAACTAATGCACATGAAGCACTTAGGAGAGCCTGGCAGATATTAGCTCCTTGATGTGTGGTGGGCGTAGTAAGAGTAGTAGCAGCTGCTGTTGTTCTTAATGGAGAAACTGTAGCTGTCAGTAGCCCCCGCCTGCTCCTAGACACTGCGCTCTCCTTCCTTTTCCTACTGTGCTCAGTCTGGCCTCCTGAGGAAATAAGAGGAGTTGGCCAGAAGCTCCGATGGCTCACCGTAGCCCTTACCCCTCACACTCCCCGGTCCATAGATTGATCCTGGGAAAACCAAGTTTTTAGGCCATAATACTATATAATAAAAGTCTAATATGCAAATCGACTGACCGGAGGAACAATCGGCGGAATGACCGGTCGCTATGACGCACGCTGACCACCAGCGGAACAACTGGTGGAACGACCGGAGGAATGACTGGTCGCTATGACGCGCGCTGACCACCAGGGGGCAGACGCTGAATACAGGAGCTGCCCCCTGGTGGTCAGTGCGCTCCCACAGGGGGAGCATTGCTCAGCCAGAAGCCAGGTTCACAGCTGGCAAGCACAGTGGTGGTGGCGGGAGCCTCTCTTGCCTCCACGGCAGCGGCAGCACTAAGGAGCAGCAAGCAGAGCGGTAAGGAGTAGCAAGCAGGTGGGTGGTAAGGAGCAAGGGTCCCGGACTGTGAGAGGGCACAGGCCGAGCTGAGGGACACCCCCCCCCACCGCACCCCCAGTACACAAGTTGTACAACAGTATATGATAAAGGAAGGTGAAATCAGCTTTCAGAATCAGGATAGGACCAGTTACATAATTTTAAGTGCCCAGTGTAAAATCAAACTGTGGAGCCCCTTGTTCAAAATCTATTAGGAATTTCAAGATAGTGATAGAAGAACATCAAACTAAGCACTGGACTCTTCTAAGCCCAGTCACACATCAGGAAGCCGGCCTTGCCCACACAGACAGAGCTGAATGCCATGAAGACTCCAGGTAGGGAGAGGGTAAAGCCCCAGCGAACTGGTAATGCCCTGTTTACTCTCTTGGGTAACCAACAGCATCCTATCCAAAACCAGGTCAGCTTGACTCTTCACCAAAGCTCTATTTGGAGTTACCCTAAGTTAATGCCATCAACTACTTCGACTGGTTGTAACATTTTGCCATGATTAGTGTGCCTTCTGATGATGTGTCTCAAGAAAAACCCTATCTCTCTAAGGCCTACCGATTCTGTGTAGGCCCCACATTTCTCCTTGCTGCCAACCCTCATAAACTCTAAAATTCGAGTCTGTGTCTTCTTTTTTCACAAATAAGCATTGTGTTATGAGAGGTTCAGTGAGATACAGATGGATTTTTTAAGTGTACATGTTTTAGAAGACATTTTAATTAATATAAAATATTGGTCTGCTAATTGAAGAATGCCTGAAATATCTGTCATCATTTCGCACTGATTGAAAATATCTGGTTTATCTTTTTAAAAAGGGAGGAAATATAATGTTTAGCAGCAACAATCACATTTCACTTATCATTCACACTGGAAAGCAGAATTTTCAATATACATTTCCTTAAAAATAGCAAAAATGCTATTAAAAGAAATGAAAGTTTTATTTCCAGGAAATGCTTGGTGCAAAGTCACTTCTCATCAGGATCTGTGGTAACCACATGTGTAACAACTGTTGGGGAGCACACGAGACTTGGTTGGAAAGTTTGTAAGGAGAACATTCTGAGAAAAGGGAAGTGTGTGGAAGGCCACCTGCCCTGTTCATCGGAATTCCGACTTAGGGGAGACAGGGGAGTGTCGAAGGCGGCACCCCTAATTATTCCCTGACCTTTCCAAACAAGTCTGTGCATGTGTAGACCCCCGGGTGTTTACCGGAATCCTTATGCTTAATCTTTTGGGTGTCCTGGCTTAAAGGACATTACAAACACACGTGTCCTCCCAATATTACTTACCTTACTGATTGTATCTAAAAGATAAACTTTACTGGTATCTCAAACTGCTATTACAATAAAAGGCTAACGAGGCAGGCAATCGAGGCTGCTTGGTCCCTTGAGCCAGGCAACCCCTTAGCCCTCTCTTTCATAGTGAAACTGTGTCGGAGTAATCTGTTCATCAGTCATTCAGCAAACAACCAAAGTGAGTATCAGAGCAGCTGTAGTGTAAAGAGGGTCCTTCCTCACCTTTCCTTTCCACATGTCTGACAGCTTGAATGCCCAGACTCTGTCCCAGCCGTAACTGACCTTCACTTCGAGAACACTAAGATTTCCTCCGTGTGAAATAGCTGCTCAGCACCATTTTGGATCCAGCCACTATGATCTCCAAACTCATTGAATCTCAGATCCTGGGCACCCAGACATGGCTGACAGGTCATCTCTGGTATGACAAGTCAGACCACTGTCACATGCTAAGCACTAGAGCAAATCATTCCTAGGACATTTATATAATGTAAAAATTTTAAAACAGATGACCATTAAAACAAATATTCTGCCACTGTTAAAAATGTTTCTGGTTTAAGAACAGCCCTAGCTAGTTTGGCTCAGTGGATGGAGCATTGGCCTGTGGACTGAAGGGTCCTGGATTTGATTCCCGTCAAGGGCATATGCCTGGGTTGTGGGCTCAGTCCCTGGTGGGGGGGCGTGCAGGAGGCAGCCGATCAGTGATTCTCTCATCATCGATGTTTCTGTATCTCTCTCCTTCCCCCTTCATCTCTGAAGTCAATAAAAATATATTTTAAAAAATTAAAAACAACAACAAAAATACAACAACAACAACAAAATGTTTCTGGTTTCCCAAAGTCTTCTGAAATCATAAAAATGTTTTGCTCATCTCTTCCCCTGCTCAAAACCTGTCAACAACTCTCCATTACCTACCCGATTAAGTTCAGTCTCAGTTGATATTCCTTTCCTCAGTTTATATCCCACTATTCCCATGAAGTAACTATCCACCCAAGGAAAATAAGATTGTGATGTCTCCACAATATGACATGTTCATTGTTTCCACTGCACCTTTGCTTCTGATGGAAAAGTTTTCCCTCTCAGTTTATTTGAACCTTATGGATCCTTCAAACTCAGTTCAAGGTCCCCATGATCCCTAAGCCTTTCCTGACCATTCATCTTTAAACTCTCTTATCTTTAAACTCACTTGTCATAACCAAAGCAGAACCAGCAAAGGATTGGTTCTGCTATCAAGACTGAAGTTAATCAAGGTAAGCACAAGCTTTCCAGAGAGGCAACTGATGACACCAATGAAGAGACTTCAAAAAAGAGAAAGAGATTTTAAAAGGTTCCGCTCCTTGACACAGTAATTTCAAATAATTTGACATAATTTATTTTGTGAATTGCTATAGATTGAATGTTTGTGCCCCCGCCCCCCAATTCATATGTTGAAACCTAATCCCCAATGGGATGGTATTAGGATATGGGGCCTTTGGGAGGTGATTAAGTCATGAGGGTAAAGCCCTCATAAATGGGATTAGGGCCCTTATAGAGGAGACCACAGATTGTTTCCTCGCCCCTTACACCATGTGAGGACATAGCAAAAAGGTCTTAAATGGCAGCATAATGTAGTGGAAAGTGTTTGGATGAATTATATGACATTGCTGATGTCTAACAATTTTTGACCTGCAAAAAATGGTAACTTTATATAGTTCAACCCAATATTGTGATTGGCAGTTAGAAGATGGGAGGAGAAGCAAGCCACTCTCAGTGTCAATGTCCTCTTCAGTGAGAAGCAACAAAACAGCTACCTCATACAGGGGAGAGCTCAGCACAGCAGTAAAGCAGCATGCACACGTAGTTGCTATGATTATCTGACACCTGTCACCCATGCCCAATGCTAGTCAGTATAGCCCTGCATCAGGAATCCTGTCTCCAGCACCTTAACAAGATCATAAGCTCTCTGAGGGAAGGGTGGTCTTACATCTTCCCGACACTGCTCAGCACAGGGTTCCGCATATGAGAGGCATACAATTCCTGTCACCTTGCTACCTAACCAAAACCAGCTCTCCCCAGAGATGGGTGCATACGACTGATCTGCAACCACACTGTCCTTATTCTTCTTGTGCAACAGTCAAGTTTTAATGGTGATTACAGGTAGAAGGCAATTTTTATTCCCTCTCTCCTTTGCCATCATGGAACCTTTAATCCAACCCATGGCCTGTTGCTTCTTCTCCTATATTTATCCCCTCCTTCCCTACAGTTTACATCCCATTGAGGATCTCACTAACCTTTACCTAGATGACTACGGAAGCCTCTTTTTTATCCTTACTGCCTCCACTTTGTCATTACATATGTTCATCCATTCATTCAGTGAGCACTTACTCAGTAAGCATCCACTGAGCGACCCACTGCCTCCACTTTGTTATTACATGTTTATTCATTCATTCAGTCAGTCAGTCATCCATTCATCCAGTG